AGCTGCATGTGGCACCGGCGAGGTGAGCGAGTGTCTGAGCTGGAGTGGCTTTGGTGGTGGCCGCACGGCGGCGGGCGTGGGCTGTGGCACGCAGCGGCGCGCGGCGGTCAGCAGGGCAGCGAGCTAGAGGGCTGCTGGTGTGCGGCGGACTGGGCTAGAGAAGGAGTCGTGCGGGCGCGCTGGTGGAGCTCTGGTCGGCAGCTGGGGCGGACTGGTGGTTGGCGGTACGGAGGCGCGCGAGAGGAGGATATCGGCGGCGCGCGGCAGTGGCGAGCGGCGTGCGGCGTGCGGCGCGGAAGGAAAAGAAGGAAAAGCAGGGCAGCGGGGAAGAAGGGAAGAAAGAAAGAAAGAAAGAAGAAAAAGAAAAAAGAAGAGGAAAGAAAGTTTTTTTTTTTTTTTACAAATCCTCCGTATCTTCATCTTCATTTTTCATTCAATTTTGAAATTTTTTTTTATTTTTTTTAAATTTTAATTGTAATAAATAAGATTTTTTTTTTGGATTGCAAAACATGGCGTGGGCACGCCAAGATTCGCCAGTATCCACTGCCTTCGAGAGTTCCTTAAGCACCGTAACGCGTGCCCTCCTCGCGTGGGCACGCCAAGATTCTATTCCCTACCAGTGTCGCGAGATGTTGAGAATTTACCAACACGGCGCGCGCACGCCAAGATTCGCGAGTATCCACTGCCTTCGAGAGTTCCTTACGCACCGTAACGCGTGCCCTCCTCGCGTGGGCACGCCAAGATTCCCTTTACTGATTAGAGTTAGAAAACACCAAGAGTGACAAACACCCACGTGAGAAACGACATGATTTAATAATTAAGCACTAAAACAACAAAATTAACCATTGGGTTGCCTCCCAAAAGCGCCTTTCTTTAACGTCTTTGGCTAGACGTTGTCCAAAACTTTGCTTAAACTAAGCAAGTAGGGTCCTCCAAGTGCATCATCTCCACCCTTTCAGTTGGAACCCCTTCATAATACGGCTTAAGACGATGACCATTCACTACAAATTTCTTCTCAGTCTTCAAACTTTAGATCTCTACTGCACCATAATGAAAGACATTAGTCACAACAAAAGGACCAATCCACCGAGAACGTAATTTACCTGGAAATAACTTCAATTTGGAGTGGTACAGTAGAACTTTTTGCCCACACTCGAACGTCTTCCTAGAGACCTGCTGGTCATGAAAAATCTTGTTTTTCTCCTTATAAATCATAGCATTCTCATAGGCTTCATTGCGAATCTCCTCCAATTCTTGTAACTGTAGCTTCCTTTGAACCCCGCCCTCTTCGATATCCATGTTGCATTGCTTGACCGCCCAAAATGCTCTATACTCGAACTCGACAGGGAGGTGGCATGGCTTTCCAAATACCAAACGGTACGGAGACATGCCGATCGGTGTCTTGTACGCCGTTCTATACGCCCACAAGGCATCTTCAAGTCTCCCACTCCAGTCCTTCCTATCAGGTCGAACCATCTTTTCCAAAATCAACTTGATCTCCCGATTCGATGCTTCCGCCTGACCGTTTGTCTGCGGATGGTAAGACGTGGAGACTTTGTGCAAGACACCGTACCTCCTGAAAAGCGCAGCAATCGTCTTGTTGCAGAAATGGGTATCCCGATCACTTACAATTGCTCGAGGCATTCCAAAGCGGACAAAAATGTTAGATTTGACAAATTCTGCAACCACTTTGGAATTGTTAGTACGAGTGGACTTTGCTTCCACCCATTTCGAAACATAGTCTACAGCAAGCAATATATATAGAAAACCATAAGACGAAGGAAAAGGGCCCATAAAATCAATACCCCAAACATCAAAAATCTCAACAAAGATCATTGGGGTTTGGGTCATTTGATCCCTACGAGAAATATTACCTACTCTTTGACACTTATCACATGACTTACAAAATGAGTAGGCATCTTTAAAGAGGGTTGGCCAATAGAATCCACTCTCTAGAACCTTACGGGCAGTCCTCTTTGGTCCAAAGTGACCCCCACATGCAAAAGAGTGACAATAAGCTAAAGTAGACTGAAATTCATTTTCACTTACACATCTGCGAATGATTTGGTCGGCACCACACTTCCAGAGGTAAGGGTCATCCCAGATGTAAGACTTTGCGTCACTCCTTAACTTATCCCTTTTTGCCTTAGGCCACCCTGCAGGAAACTTGTCAGTAACTAGAAAATTAACAATATCTGCATACCAGGGCAAAGTTAAATTAGCAGAAAATAAGTGCTCGTCGGGGAAGGTTTCTCTCAATGGGATATCGTCCTTGGTGACTTGTACCCGACTCAAGTGATCTGCAACCAAATTCTCTGCCCCTTTCTTATCTCTGATCTCCAAGTCAAACTCCTGTAGCAACAGTATCCACCTTATCAGTCGCGGTTTTACCTCTTTCTTGGTCAACAGATACCGCAGGGCTGCATGATCAGAGAAGATAATAACTTTAGCACCAAGTAAATAGGAACGAAATTTTTCTAAAGCAAAAACTACAGCTAAAAGCTCTTTCTCAGTGGTCGAATAGTTCAATTGGGCTCCGTTCAAGGCTCGAGATGCGTAGTATATAGCGTGGGCTGCCTTTCCCACTCTTTGACCTAGCACCGCACCCACTGCGTAATCGCTGGCGTCACACATGATTTCAAATGGGAGATTCCAGTCAGGGGATTGGATGACGGGTGGAGAAGTGAGTAATTTTTTTAACTTCTCGAACGCTTCTTCGCACTCGTTGAATTCAAAACTGACATCCTTTTGTAAAAGCCTGAAAAGTGGTGCTCCGATCTTTGAGAAATCCTTGATAAATCTGCGATAGAAACCTGCATGTCCTAGAAAAGAACGAACTTCCCGTACAGTTACGGGGTAAGGTAAAGCAGTTATCACATCTATTTTAGCTTTATCAACCTCAATTCCTCTAGACGACACTACGTGTCCTAGAACTATCTCGTGTTCAACCATGAAGTGACATTTTTCCCAATTTAGCACCAGGTTAGTCTCAATGCATCTTTTTAAAATCAATGTCAAGTTATCTAAACAATCGTCAAAACTATCACCATAGACACTGAAGTCATCCATGAATACCTCAATTATTCTCTCTACATATTCAGAAAAAATGCTAATCATGCACCTCTGGAATGTTGCAGGGGCATTACACAACCCAAAAGGCATTCTTCGATAGGCAAAAGTGCCAAAGGGGCAAGTGAAAGTTATTTTCTCTTGATCTTCTGGTGCAATTGCTATTTGAAAATAACCAAAGAAACCATCTAAAAAACAATAATAGGCACGACAAGCTAACTTTTCAACCATTTGATCGATAAATGGAAGAGAAAAATGATCCTTCTTGGTCACTGCATTCAATTTGCGGTAATCGATGCACTGGCGCCAACCCGTAGGCTTTCGAATTGGAACGATGTCCCCTTCATGATTTTCCTCCGCAGTTACCCCTGCTTTCTTTGGCACCACTTGGACCGGACTTACCCATGGGCTGTCTGAGATAGAAAAAATAATTCCTACGTCCAGAAGCTTGATTACCTCTTTCTTGACAACTTCCATCATGATGGGGTTCAATCTCCTTTGTGGTTGTCTTATCGGCCTAACATCCTCTTCCAGGCGAATTCGATGCATGCACACAGACGGGCTTATACCCTTGATGTCTGCAATTGTCCACCCTATAGCTTCCTTATGCTCCCTTAAAACCCGCAGCAGCTTGTCCTCCTCCGTGGGTGATAATTTAGATGAGATTATCACTGGTAACGTCTCCTTTTCACCTAGAAAGGCATATTTTAAATGGTCGGGCAGGGGTTTCAACTCCACTTCAGGTGCCTGCACGATAGAAGGTAATAGCTTTAGGTGTGGTTCAGGCACAAATATAGGAGCAACATCATACCTTAGAGGACTTTGGCCTAGTGAATGCAAGGCTCCGACCATTCTTTGCAAATTGATGTCTAACTCCATTTCGCAGGCTGCTTCCAGATTCAAATGTTTGGTGATTGCTACCTCCAATTCATCCCTGCCATTAATCTCAAATACTTCTTGCACCAAAGGGTCAATTACACTCACAGCAAAAACAGCATTAGAATGACACGGATATTTCATGGCCTCAAATATATTGAAATGAACTATTTCTCCATCAAATTCCATCGTTAGGATGCCCTCACTAACATCAATTCTTGTACGAGCTGTGCTCAAGAAGGGCCTCCCCAACAAAATTGGTGATGGATTTGGAGAACGTTCATCACCCATATCAAGAATATAAAAATCAGCAGGGAACACTAAATTGTTCACTTGCACTAACACATCTTCTATCACCCCATCAGGATAAGCATTAGTCCTATCAGCCAGTTGAATTATAATGCCAGTTTCCTTTAAGGGGCCCAAATTCAGAGAAGCATATATAGCCTTGGGCATCACATTTATAGAGGCTCCTAAGTCTAACATGGCATTCCTAATGCTAGTGTTCCCTATTTTGCAAGGAATAGTGAACATACCTGGGTCTCCGCACTTGGGTGAAGTTTTCTTTTAAGCACTGCAGATACGTTCTCTCCCACAATTATCCTTTCATCTCCCCTTAATTTCTTCCTATTGATGCATAGGTCCTTCAAAAATTTGGCATACCGGGGTACTTGCTTAATTGCGTCAAGTAAGGGGATATTTATCTCCACCTTCCTAAACATTTCCAAAATTTCCTTTTCCATGTCTTGCTTTTTAGGCCTTTCCAACCTGCTAGGAAAAGGTGGTGGGTTAGGCTTCATTGGAACCACTGGGTTACGTATTACCTCTTTATTGGTGCCGGGAGTTCCTTCTTCCTCAAGCTCCTTCTCAATGCGGTCCTCATTCTTGTCCTTCGAAGCCACTGGTGCTGGTCCTTCAATCTCTTTCCCACTCCTGAGGGTCATTGCACTTACATTCTTGGGATTCACCTCAGGTTGGGATGGAAGTTTTCCCTTCCCCTGGGAGTCTAGTCGGTTGACAATTGAGGCTAACTGACTCATCTGATTTTCCAAGTTTTACATACGCGCTTTCATCTCCTGATTGTTGGCCTCAGTGTCCTGTTGAAATTTCATAGTATTAGAAGCTATGGTTTTGACCATGTCTTCTAGGGACATACCTGAGGCAGAGGAGGGTTGATTCCTTGTTTGATATTGTTGTTGGAAACCCTGTTGTCTATTGGGGATGAAATTTTGTTGCTTATTTCCCCCATAGCTTAGATTTGGATGATCCCTCCAACCCGGATTGTATGAGTTGGAATAGGGGTCATACTGTCTACATGGCATGGGCATGTTACCAGCCATGTTTGCTTGCTCAATTCCCTCTTCATGTAACTGTGGGCACGAGTCAGTGGTATGACCAATATTCGTGCAAATCCCACACACTTTGGCCTGCTGTGCATTTCCTACAGCTATCTGTCGAACAAATGAGGTTAATTCAGATAATTGCTGTTCAATGGAAGATGAACTTACCTCGTTGACCTTTCTTGTAGGAACATCTGCTCTCGTGCCAAACTGCTGGCAATTCTCTGCCATTCGCTCAATTAAATCCCATGCTTCCTGGGTAGTCTTATTCACCAGTGCACCACCACTTGCTGCATCAATGATATTCCTATTGTTCATTAGTAGTCCCTCGTTGAAATACTGAATCAGCAGTTGATCACTTATTTGGTGATGTGGGCATCGGGTACGCAGCCTGGTGAACCTCTCCCAATATTCATACAAGGATTCCCCGTGAAATTGCTTGATGCCACATATTTCCTTTCGCAAACTAGCAGCTCTGGATGCAGGGAAATATTTTTCAAAAAATTTTTTCTGCATCTCTGGCCACGTGGTGATAATGCCTGCAGGTAGACAGTATAACCAATCCTTTGCCGAATCCTTTAGAGAGAAAGGGAAGGCCCTTAATTTAATTTGTTCATCAGTTACTCCCGAAGGTTTCATACTCGAACACACCACATCAAATTCCTGCATGTGTTTGTGGGGTTCCTCTCCTGGCAGACCATGAAAAACAGGCAGCAAATGTATTAAACCAGGTTTTAATTCAAAAGCTGCATTCTCACTAAGGCGAGGAAAAGTTATGCAAAGAGGTTGTTGGGTTAAGTTTGGAGCAGCCAACTCCCTTAATGTTTGTGTGTTTGCCATGTCGACGTTCTCTTGGCAAAAATCACTTGAAGTGTCACCCAACGAATCTGCTGGTTCAACTTCGGGCTCAGGTCTCTGAGCTGTAGCCCTGGAGTGCTCCTCTCTGAGCTGTCTGGTTTCTTTCCTTGTTCTGCGCGCGGTTTTCTCTACTTCAGCGTCAAAAATCAATTCACCTGTGCGAGAAGACCTAGGCATACACTAGAAAAATACCAGAAAATTAGAGCAAAAATGAAATTTTAAAAAGAAACAAATAATAACGCCAGTCCCCGGCAACGGCGCCAAAAATTGACAGGGCGTCAACCTGTGCAATAATACTAATAATAATAACCTAAATACCACTAAAAAGCTGTCAATAATTAATCCTAGGTACTGGAGCAGGGACTCTAGGTGTGCAATGGGTTACTTGATTCACCCTGTTCCCGAAGAGTTTGCTAAATCCGATATACCAGAATTAATTAGTTAGCAAAAAACACTGAATAGTAGACAGTGGCAAGTAGAGTCGTCTCCTCAGGGATTGGGAATATTTGTCTCTCTTAAATTCCAATTGGTAAGGGGGGATTTCACCGGAAAGAAACTAAAATCAATTAAACAATTCAACTAAAAATAAATAATTAACTAGCACGAATATAGCAGGAATTAAATCAAGAATAAATAAATTCTAGCCAGGGATGCAACTACTCAGGCACAGTCCATTTATCTGATCATTGATGCGAGTGAGGTTCACTTAATTTATTAATAGGCTAGTTATAGTCTGACGACCAATTTTTCCTTAAATTATTGATAACCAAGGTACGACCATTGATCACCCCTAACCAGAAAATACTCCTAGGTACGACCATAGGAATTAATTTCCCAATTGCATTAATATTAGAAAAACCTAGCCCTAACCAATAACACGCCCCATTAATTTCGTGTTAGATTCGTGTCGTGTTTTCGGGTCGTGTCAGAAATTGTCACCCCTAGATTCTATAGAGAACAACTCTGGCAAGTATTATGAAAAGATTGGGGTCTTGTACGGTTACAATAGTAATAGCAGAGTATATTTGAAGGCGCAAATGTGTTTGAAAAGGAGATTATTAGAGAAATTTTTTTCAAAAAAAATACTATAACACTTTTTTGATGTGACATATATGAAATAAAAAGATAATTGAAAAATGTGTTTGTAATGCAATTAAATAAAGTTGTGCAAATAATAAGCTATCCAAATTGTGTTATGAAATTAGATGGTAAAGATTAAATATAGGATACCAATTTCAATGTATCAAAAAATTTGTCATATATTTTATCTTATTATATTAGTATATAAATTTATTATGTTAATGTTTACATTAGTTATGTTACTGACTTAATACTGTCATCAGTAGTAACAGCAAAAGCAAGCTGTGTATCGTATTATCACCACTAGTCACAGTAAAAGCCTCTGATCCATTGTGGAAGTGTTTTTACGTTTTCACTAGTTTTTTCAGCCTCACGCGATGCGTGAGGATGCCCTGGGTCTATGTTAATCAAGATCAAATGAAGGCAAGTGAATTAATGTAAAATGCTTATGTATTAATACATGATAGGTGTTAATAAATGTGAGGAATTTGATTTTAAGTAAATTGAATATTGATGTTACTCGTTTACTCATTTGATTTGTAATTTTCTCTTAGATAGTCAGTCATTACCTTAAGATCTTTGCAAATTCTTGATACTATAAATAAATGATGCATTCATTTGAAATGTACAAGTACATACAAATATCATAAATGTGGTGACGCTGATCACTTTTAAAATTATGCACACACTATTTGTATCTAGTCAAGAATGAAATAAGTTTAAACAAGTAAAACCCTTCTTGAAACTTATTGTGAATAAACACAATGGTGATGTCAATAATTTAAAAGAACAATCATCACATTTCTATGCAATAAAAAATGTCAAGAAATTGAGAATTATTCGTGATGTAGTAAAACAAATATGCTTCTAGTAATTGTAGTAAAAAATATCATATTGACAGGTGTTGTTTCTTGTAGTAATCTTTCCAATAGAACGAGCCTTACAAAACTTCTTGCACTCATTGCAATAATTTTTGGGTGTAGTACATAGATCATCGTCATCATTTTTCTTCTTTGCATCTCTTTTTTGTGCATAGACTATTAGTCAATGACGATGAACATTTCCTTCTTTTCTTTTGTCAAGCATTCTTTGAAGTAGAACAAATTATAGTAATCTTGAGACATGCAACATGTAGTATATTTTACCTTACAACCTTAATAGCCAATTCATAATTGGACCTTAACTACCATTTGAATCCCGTAAGGATGCCTGGATTTCTGTCTGAATTTGCTACAAAATATCTAAGTATTTGCTTGAACTTGATGCAAATTTCTGATACGTTTGTGGGAATGCATTAGTAGGAGAATTACTTAGGAAGTACTAAACAATAGCTAGGAACAACCTGGAGAAATATATCATACTCAGATTCACTGCAAGGTATTGTCCCTATTTTCACAAATGCAAAGCAATAGTATCCCTGCATCTACAGATTAGTCTTAGTAGGGACCATCCAATATTGATTTATAAATGACCAAACTACTTATTCAATTATCCACCAAACTGAATAGCTCGTATTCATAGCTTTCTATCTCACTAGTGTTTTGGAGGAAACTACTTATTGATCTTATTTCAGAAAAGATTTGGAATCCAGAGACCTTATTCACTGCCTGAGGTAGTCTTTTAAACCTTTGCCACTTTTTTGTATGTTTTTTTTCCGTCGAAGTTTTTGTGGTACTTGCATGATTAGGAAATTAAACTATACTTTGATAAAAAAACATGTAGCTTTGACCTACAGTATGTCAAAATCGCAAGCAATTGATAGATAGTATTCAATTTCTGGTTTCTTTATATATTTGGCTTGCAGATTTTTCTTGCTAAGCAGACCAAGAATTTTTGTACTTGTGCTTCAAACTTTACTGTTGTTGTAGTTAAGTAATGGTAATTTATGTGAACAATCACCTTAATTTTTTAGAGGATTGCTAATTGATTCCATTCTTGGTACTCTGGCCTTTTATTGTGGTCCAATAGTTCGACATATTAGTTTTCAGAAGGAAACAACAATCATCAAAAGGTTTGTATTTAATTGTAATTTTAGGGGATAGCTGGATAACCCTTCTTCTTATCTTTAAACCCATGAATGGGTTATGGAACGAGCAAAATTTTCGTGCCCCTCCCTCCCCGGGCCTACTTCTGGCATGATATATCAACATAGTGACGATATTGCCCTGAACTTCTTCGAATGTCACATTGTAAGAGCCACTGGAGTTGCTAAAAATTACTCTATAACCGGCCCATGCCTACTGTAGCAATCCCAACTCTCGCTTTTAGTATAGTAAAGATTTGACTCGTATACATGATCTATAAGAGTAACTATTTAATATAGCCTTGTATACAAGTTGTGTACATAGCCTATGAGAGTAGAATGATGCTATATATATACACATACACATACACACACTCATCACCAGCTTATCATCACCTACGTGGAGTGATGACGTGTAGCAAGGTTTCCTTTTCCATCTTAAAGAAGTAATGGCATGGCATGGCAATAATTATTTGGAATATACATATCAAATTAATTAAATTTATAATGCTTAATTATTCATTTCAAGCTTACCTTAATAATTCCTATACAAAATTAAGTAAGGTTTAATATTTGTAAGTTTCCAAACTATTAACTAGTTGTCAATTTGGAATGTTTCTATCTTGACTAATCATTGTTGTTAATTAATTAAAGATAGTATATTCTAGAGCTAATCACTGGTGCTTTCTGCCAACGACCAAATGGAACCAAGTAGGCGAATAGCTAAGGATTAAATGAACCAATGACAGAAGAGCTTGCAAAATTTGTAACTAAAAATGCTAATGAAGTCTCCTTGAATTCATGGAAGAAGAAGGTGGGGTTGTAGGGAGGATTGAATTAATAAACGTAAAGCCAAAAGCGTAATTCGAGCAGAAATATTCCTTTCAAAATGCTTTACATATTTGTATTACGAAGCTCCATAAAAATTGAAAATTATTCAAACACAAAATTTCCTAAAATAAAAAGTACATACACTCAATTTTATAAATAAATTATTGAAATATAGCAGATCATATCTACGTAGGAGGTGATAGATCGATGATGAAAAATCGGTGATATATATCACTACTCATGAGTGATTGTTTCATATATTGTCGTCCGAGAAAGTAATGTCTTTAGTCTTTCTCAATCACGTGCTCCATATCATTTTTCCACATCCAGCTTCTGTTTTATTTAGTCTCTTTCTTCCTTCTGGCCAATGTGTCTCTTTCTTCTTCCTGTTTTGCATGTTTGGCCCAATTCACACAACCCCTTTGCTGTATATGAAAATGACCAAATCGACAAGTTAGGGTGTGTGTGTGTCTTTAACTCTCAGTCAAAATTAATTAGTTGGGTGTGTGTCTTGTTCCGTTTCCGAAAAAAAAAAACAAGTTAGGGTGACTCATCCAACTCCATTAAAGGATGATTGGATAGGGATCCAAGTTGCACGGCATCAACGATTTCTCAGATTCCTACACTGTGACAAAACACACGCCTATGTCTGGCAAGAAGTATGATAATGCTGCACGGCATCAATGATTTTTCAATATTCATTTTTTTTCTTTTCTTATATTTTTTGCCTTTTTCCAAAAAAAAAAGAAGTGATCAAGTTTCAAACAAGTAGTAATCCTTTTTGTTTCATTTTTCTGGAAAACTAATTAATTGTATGATCAATACAATCGTACTAGCTACTGTTAAATCAATGTTTTGAGGGAAGGGTGATTGTGAAACAAAAGTTTTTAGCTTTATTTGGTGCTTGATTAACAAATGGCAGCATATATCCGAAGAAGATAAGTGGATTTGGTCATATGCTTTGCAGCATATTTATTAAAATATATGTGCGTTCATCCGCGTGGAATCAACCAAAAAAATGTGGAAAACAATGAACTTAAGTTAGAAATTATTGCGAATGGATAAACACCTTTTTTTTAAATTTTTTTAAAGGGCCGTATGGAGTAAATACAACCCGCAATTTTATTCTTTGTTCTTGGAGGAGCTCTTTTGCAATATAGGACCGCATGTAGTACATTTCAAAAGTGTTTGGGTGTCACATGCAGTACATAACTACATATGCGGCACCCCTAAATGGGATCGA